TGAAAGTCAGGGAATTTCATCAGCTGTCAGTCGTAGACTGCTTTATCTCTCCAAACATCGCGACTATTCTCATCAAGCGTTTTTATAACGTCGCCACAATGAATCTTGCTTTGCAACCTGGCCGCCTACCCATAAGGAAACAAGTCTCGCTCCTTATATATTTGATACCTAGAACGGCATCTCGGTTTGTGTTTGTATGAACTTACGGTTAGAAGCTGAAAAACGAACTTCAGATATTAAATCAGAAGTAACTCCTACGTTATTTTTCAATCTTTTCAATATCCATTTGGAAGATCAGAAGTTCGATTTGAGGCCGTAGTTACCCTACCCCTAAAGGAATATCAAAATTTTTTCCTCTGAGCAATTAGGAATCAATTTTACTTTAAGAGAAGGGAGCTGATGCGAATGTCGTCTATTGAACGCAATCAAAATTTCTGTTAGGCTACTTCTTTATCTTTCTCTAAACATTTTGTACCATATTGGGCTCATAAACCTTCACGGAAGATGTGATGAGGCGTCGAATGACCCCAGGGAGCTCGCTGGTTCAGTTAGGGGGGTTAGTCTTCGGCCGTAAAACGGCCAAAAAAAGTAGGCGTTACGCATAAAAATTGAAAAATTCTAACTTTCAGTGTTAGAAAAAAATAACCGTAGAAATGTTCGTTTCAACCGAGAGGGAAAATTACTTCAGCCGTAAAATGGCCAAAATTTAACCGTTAGCCATGTAGAGCAGTCACCCCATTGAGACCCAAAATTAGATGCCAGAGTATGAACGGCACCTCATGATCAGCCCACATACACTGTTTTACGAAATGACGTGCAGGAACCTTAAAAAATCAACATTTTTTCCACTATTTAATGTGTAGTTTTCAACATTCGTATTCACTCTTACAATCTTTTAAATACTTGTGAAATTTAAGAAATTGCTTATCACACTAAACTTAAATAACAAACGGTGCCAAATAACGTACCTGGGCCTAGAACATAGTGACTATATTTGGATATACAAACATTTCTCCGTCATGAAATTGTAAGTTATATCAGGGTCCATTCCATTCAAAAATTGCTTCCTGAAAAGAATTACCTGGTAGCACAAGACTAATATAAATGTCTCACCAGTTACAATACCCATATGTTTAACCATCTCTCGTATCATAAATAATTTTGTGTCATAAAAGCAGCGTATTTTTAGCAGCTTTTGAAACTAAAAAACTCAAGTATTTTGTCAAAAGGACACTTCTGTCCTTACAACAAAAATAATAAACTTCGTCCGAGTCGCTGATTACAACTAGTTTTTAAATTTATTTCTGACTCTATAAAGTATTAAAATACTTTTTATCAGCAGTTCTTCTTTTTATTTCAGTGGACATATACAAAAATAGTACCAGTCTCCTGCTGTCAGTAGATGAAGCTGTACTCTTTCACCAATCCAGTACAGTCTCTCCCAGTACTCGTCTTATGGTATATTCGAGGTGGTCAAGGGCTGGGTTTCCCTCCCAAATTTTCTCTCCTTTCAGACGAAAAATTCTTTTTTCATCCATACCGGTTGGGATCCAATCATTCTTGTTTTTTTCGGTGAAGAAAACCATAATCAGTTTCTCCACAAGTTTTCTGTTTTCTGTGAACTCTTCATGTATAACTTTACCGTCAAAAATGATCAAACCATCTTCTGTTTCTTGCTGTTGGTTCTGAATAAGGAACGAAGCTTGACCCGAACCTACTAAAACAACGCAGTCACTGCCACGGAGTTCTTTCCTGAAATCATGTTCGTCTGCCAGAATGTCGTTGGTATTTTTCACGATTGCCTCTTTTTGCAGCTTTCCTCGTAAACAGTCTTGTAGCTCTTCAGGTTTATCACTGTCGATTCCGGAAAACATTCCAGTATACAGATATAAAATATATTTCATTTTGTCTTGGATTTTTCGGCGAGGGTAGAAAAAAGGTGCAGAGTAATACGCTTCTTTATAGGCAACAAATTTTGCGGGTCGTCTTTTAACTTTTGAGTTCCAGAGAGAATAAGGAAAAGTGCAAAGGACTGCTGCCAGAAGCAACATATATCTAGGTGGATGTGATATGCAAAATGCCACTGTGAAATAAACGTGGAATGTACGTAATAAACACCACCATTAACCATCTTTTTGTGTTATTTCTCATCTTTTCAACAGAGCTTCTATCTCCATGATTCTGGTGAAAGCTTAAAGGGAAGCCTCAAGCTGAGTGCGAAATCGCCTTCATTAGGAGGTGAAAGAAATTCCAAGAAAACACAATGCACGAGCAGATGGTAATTTGTTGCTGCCTATCTAAGGTCATCCGAGTGTTTGATAAAATACAGCGTAGCATACAATCTCCGCGTGGTTTGCACTGTTTTTGCAGATGCTAATTAGAAATAACGAGTAAGGGTGTACATTGAATGTCCCTCTGCTTGCATAAATTATGAAGAGTTTGCTGAGTTTTTGCCGCTTATTCATCGACACTCAGTTAGCTTTTACTCAGTGGAAAAGACGAGTGAAGCTCCTTTTTGGGAGAATAGAACTTCATCGGAGAAGCAGCATTTGTCAAATCGGGGCAAAAAACGTCTTTTTCAGTTTCTTAGTGGTGAAATGCTAATTCAGTTAATCATCGAGGATGAGGTGTTAGCCATTAGAAATGAAATAATTAACTCCTTGGAGCGCATAATTTTTTCCGTACAATGACAAGTTGACTAGTGGTGCTAATACAGAAATGCGAAATATTAAATACGCTCGATTAACTCCAGTAATTTCCAAGAACAGAAATCTTTTTTCCAAGATTTTCCACAGGTTTTTCCAGAACCCACAGAACCCTATTTTGGGTCTTCGTCAAATATCGCCAGTTCGTTAAATTTGTTTTCATCGTCCGTACCGTGAAATACTAATGCTTGTAAATGCATTAGTTGATGTTCCAGTGTTACAGCAATTTCAACACCAGTTTTTCTCAGAACGAGACTGAGTCACGTGGCATTAGCAGGACTTGTGGAACCTTAGGGTTTAGATGCTAATTTAACTCGGACTTTTTAAAACTTATTGTATGGTTTCGGTCACGTCACGCTATTTTCACATGTCCTTCGTTTAAAATGGTTCAACGAAGGACACTGTGTCTTAGATTCTTGGTAAAAATTGAGTTACAACGGTTCACTTTAGCCAAGTGTGAGAGGCCTCCGCAAGCGGTCATTCTAATGCATTATATCAAGAAAGGCTTGGAGAAATACAAAAATTCGCAATTCGAATCAGTTCATGAAATTTACAATTGAAAGAAGTGCTTTTAGAACAGTTTAAATCCGGTATTAAAAAAGTTTTAGATGACCTGTTAGTTCATAAAAAGATAAATAGGAGAAAGATAAAATTCTGAGTCCCCACGAGGAATCGTACCTAAAACGTTCGAATTCCGCACTCCGATGCTCTACCACCGAGCCACAGAGACTTTCCGGTGAGCAAAGCACATTACGAAGTTCATATATGATAAGCGTCCTGCATACTGCTAGAATCAGCAATGTCGATAGCGTCATATTTTATAAATAGAAAAGGAAATATGGTAAGTTTTGAATTCGGTAAAAAAAAAATTAACTGTTTCTTCACCGAGCTCAAAACAACCATTATTATTCTATATACAAAAGTTAAAATTCTTCAAGAGAGATAAACCATGAACTTGAGAACTAACGCCAAACGACCAAACTGTGGGTGACTTTAAACTCCAGCCTTATCCAAAAGAAAGAAACCAGAAAAATAAAAATTGTTATCTCACTGGTTTGAGGAGGTTTTTGCCTTATTGCAACTTCGCCTCATACAGCCTTTACGACTTCACCCCCTTAAGTAAAACAAGTTCCCCTCTACCTTGACCATTTCGCCCACAAAGATTTCAACTTATTTTCTGGACGCAGAACGTATTCCTATCTTGTCGAAATCATATTGTGACCAAAATACTATTTCATAGGGAAATTTCAGATTCAGATTGTCGTTGGGCACAACGTTTCATAGTAATATAACTTCTAGGGCTTTCGTGGTCTAGCGTTTAACGCAGAAAAAGTAGAATCGCATGTTGACCTAAATGTATCATGATTTCCACAGAAATGAAATATGCTCCGTCGAGGAAACGAGTTGAAAGATTTGGTAGCAAACTAAAAGCAGGGGCCAGCTTGTAGTGGGGGGAAATTTCCCCATCCCACCTGGTAGATCGAATTTCAGTTCGTATAAACCCCTTAAATAGCTACTCAAATCTTGCGTGATCTATTGTAGAAAACCCCTTCCCTAACCTTCCTTTTTTGTAGACCGTTCTCCTCTCCCTCCACCCCGCCTCCTACACATTCTTCGCTTGCTATATCAACTGCTCACCGGAATGATCGCTACTATTCAACGGCTCTCTACTGGCAGAGCCTCGGCACCAGAATTAGTCCCGAGGAACCGTTGGGACCTGGGAACTAGAAATGTAATGAGATAGTCCTGCGTACCGTGGCACCGTCGCTACTCTCACCTCGTTGGCGGAAGTCTCATTTCGTCGTCTTTAAAGAATGTTGAGAGACTGTTGGAACTTACCTACCTCTTAGATGTGGCTTGTGGCAAAATATTCAGATATGAGAAAAGAAGATCACTCTTTAGTAGAGTTTAGCTACAAAGAAAAAAAACAAATACGAGTTCCAGCCTGAAATTGATCAACAACAAGAATCAGGCTTATTTGAAGATGAATTGCACACAGAGCTCTGGATTAAGGTGAAAATCTTTTTTAAGCCAAAATGTCGATATTGAACATTGCTAATGATATCTACGGCCTAATGTATATATGCAGATCAGGAAAACGTTTCAGTATAGTTAACTGAAGAATTTCAATATTACACACAGTGTGTGTCAGGCTCGTAGGAAATGGCTTACACAAACCAAACTTATCTTAAACTATGATCAAAAGCAACGAGCTGAAGGTATAAGTTGTAGCTAGTAAATGATTACGGTCGATGAGCCTTGCATGAAATCATTCTTTTGTAGATTAATCAAAAGCAGAGGGAAGGAATATCATGGAATAGGGCCATGGATGAGGTGCGAGTTGAAAAACTGATCCAAAAGTACAAGGATGATGGCGAATTGGACAGTGAGGATCCGGCACTCATGATGTTAAAACAGTGGCCAAACTCTGAACGGTATAAAAATAGCCCTGAAAAGCTTCCAGGCCTTGAAAGGCTGGTAAGTGTCGAAAACTAACCTACCCTCAATTTGTTAGTTAGAAGTACATAATTGGGGTTGAGGGGTACACACAATAACCAAAAGAGATTTGTATTCATTGGGCCCTAAAGATAGTTGGGCGACATATTTTTGGTGTATCATTACATCATGCATGTCCAATTTTTCTACTATGTAAAATGGATTAATATCAGTCTTGTTACCTCTAACTGTATGTGTTTTGATATTTAAAGTCATCTTTTCTTAAATATGATTTGGAACAGATAGTTACTGCATGAAAACCTTACTTGAAAAGTAGCCATTTAGTGGTCAAAATTGTAATATTTGATTTTCAGAAATTTGTTTTCTATTAAGATTTGATAAATATCAATCACTTAAAAAAGTGTGAAGCTTATGTCACAATATGCAATGACATGTAGTCCCCTCAAGGTGGAAAGTCAGAAAAATTGGAGAATTCCTGGTCCATGACTCCTTAAATTTCTTTCAGGTTGGGTTATTGAACAACCATTGCATACAATTCTATAAATCATGAAATGTAATATGTCTTCAGGCTTATGATAATTAAGTCTTGAATATCAGATGTTCTTAGGAATACCTTTAGCAACAGAGATTGCTCATTGTGGGGTTTGGAAGCAAGATTTTGAAAGAGCTATAAAACATGATTTGGGAGTTTTACATCTTGTTAATAGGGATCCTGAGTATGCATGCTGTGTTAGCATGATGCTATTGTGTGTTTATTTTTTTTTGCAGATAAACCGGTTATTGGATATTCTATTGGACAGTGAACTGAACTATGAGAACAAATACCAGAGATTCAGAGATAAAGAAGATAAAACAAAGAAAACTTTAATGCACTATGCAGCTGAACTTGGATTTTTAGATGTCACCAAAACTCTTGCAAAGAAATGTCCATGGTTATTAACAGTTGCAACAAAAGCACCCTTGAAAAAAAGAGGATTAATACCAGTTGAGATAGCATTAGAAGCAGAGAATGATGAAGTTACAGCATACTTGATTAGACTAATGTATCATGAAAGGTAAAGTGCCAGATGGAAAGACTAAAGGAGCTACTCCCTAGAATAATTAGGAGTTTTAGTATCCCTGCCCTCAGGTCTCAAGAGAAAGTAATGAAGAAGCTGCAGAACTATCCAGAAATCAGATGAAACTAGCCTGCACCATGAGAACCAAATAGTTTCCTCAATTATTTTCAATTTACAAATAAAATTTATGTAGGAAAAAAATTCTCCACCAGCTTGGCAAGAGAAATTATAATTTTGTAATGAGTTTCATGAATACAGTTTTATTTTGATGTTGTGAAATTGGAGGTGTATTAGCAATAGCGTGTATCTTCTTGATCCAGATAGTGCACAAACTGTAGGAAGGCACAGATAGGTACTTATTATATCTTATGTTCACAACTCTCTACTGAGGTCAACATTGAGTATTTATTCTAAATTTCTTGTTTCTTCTGCCCTAATAGAGCCCAGAGTTTATTTTCTTGGCGACCAGATCAGGACATTACAAATCCCCAGCCATCCTTCTACACTTTCAAGTCCATTATTGAAAATCCCAAAATGAAGGTGAGCATTTTTCTTTCACCAAATTGCCTTTTTAAATATGCATTTTACTTTGTGTTTGTTATTCACATGCAGAAAACAGTTGTGGCTGTCCTTGACCAGATGGTGAATCCTCATTGGCCACACCTTCCAAAACGGAAGGAAACATACAGCAATGAAGAAGAGAGAAAGGGGGTTGAAGGTGCCTGGAATTCAATCACTGATGATCCTTTGGACTATCAATTTTATTATCATATCTTGGATGGTGATGAGGGAGGGCGGCCTCCTAAGATTGAGACCTCAGCAGAGAAAAAGGAGAGAGACAATCCACATTTTAATTGGAGGAACAAATCTTGTTTAGAAGTCATAGCAAAGAGCAAAAATAAGGTAAGATCAAAACCTTTTTCATTGTGACAATGAAGGCTACTTAGAAATGTTGAAATATTTATAGCAAGAAGGACCCTTTTTATTTCTGTTACAGCTAGATCAAAGAGGGCAACCTAAAGCCCAGCTTGCCTGGCAAATCCATTAGAGTATCAATTACAATATCATATGAGATGCATTACATCCATGAGAAAGGCTATTTGTCTTTAACTTTAACTTTCTTCCAACATTGATATTCATGACTACATAATAAACTTTTGGGCCCACCCACCCTTATATTGATAAAGATAAAAAATTTTCTGCTTGTTGAGGCTTCATATAATAGGGTATAAAAAGAGATGGGAAAAGCTGGGGGGCCCTGGGCAGGGCTGTGCAAGACGCCAATTTAAATTGAAAGGAGAATTTAAGAAGAGAATTTAAAGTGAGAGTTGTACTCACATGCTAAACATGCTGAGTAATTGAGTTAGGTTGACCCAGCTGAGAAAATGTTTGGCCCAAGATCATCAATACTTTCCTGTCATTCCTCTCAATCAATAATTGATTTTTTTTAATAACATGGTAATTTTATTCTGCTTAATTTTCATCTTCAGGAGGCTTTGCAACATCCTGTGGTTAGAATGTTGGTTAAAACAAAATGGAACAGTTATGGACACTTGTTTCTGAGGTAAAAGTATTTGAGGCTTGTAACATAGTTTTCCTAAGCATTAGCTGACAGGTCCCTTACTAATTTTTAACAGTATTCCTGCAACTTTAGCACTGCCTTCCTTCCACACAGGGTTCCCTATTAACAAGCTAATGAAAAGTGCATAGTCAGTTACTAGATTCACATCTACTGGTTATTCTGGGAACTTCTACAAGTTAACTGAAAACATGTTTTAAATAGTTTAATGAAAATTTTTTCAAGTCCAATAATGCATCTAATAGCTTCTTCACCTGACTGCTTCCTACAGAAGTGAAACGTTTCCATAAAACATCCCCACCGCTGGTTGTTAGACAGAGTTCTCTGATTATAATGCATATGTTCATGATAATGTGATATGCATATATTTACTCGGTTTGTCCCTTTTTTTTCCCTCAGCCTTCAAGCAGCTTTGTATGTCATCTTCTTGCTGTTCTTGTCATATTCTCTGCTTTATGCCTCCACAAAACTGGACCCTACCCAGTACAGGGGTACAGCAGATTTACTTCGTGGGATTTGTGAAGTGTTCACCCTTCTTATGGTTTTGTTTTACATGTGTGAAGAAATCAATCAAATGAGAGTGTAAGTCGTGAAACTTTTTAATTTGCACTTTTTTTCATTTCAATTAATTTTTAACAAATTTTGTGGTTGATATAAGTACTTATTATGTTACACTATTGTTGCACATTTGAGTAACAATATGGTAGTATTAGTGCTGTTTTGAGAAACTGCTTTATAATGTTGAGTAATTTAATTACATGTAAAAATTGATACCATGCACAGAGATATATCATAATACATAAAAGGGTTCAATTTAATATTCTGGGACGCAGTTAATTTCAGATCAAGAATTCATGAAAACCTGTAGGGCTTAAAGAAATTCTCGGTCTTAATTCTTGTGTCAAACTGATTTCTTTCAGAAATGGCTGTTCATACTTTATTGAGTGGATAACCTTGTTTGACTGGTTAGGCCTGGTGTTGATCCTGTGTGTAATACCCTTGCGGTATATTGGTAGTAAATCACAGTGGTTGGTGGCATCATCAGCTTTCCTATTTAACTTCTTGAGGATATTAAAGTTTTCTTGCCTGACGAGGTAATCAAATACTCAAACTATGTTTGGTTGAATTTTAATGTTAATTTATTGTTCTCTGTAAACTTCTATAGTTTGAATTATGACGAAGTTTGTGCTGTGCGACTTAGAGACCCCCCTAATCAAGTGTAACTTCAGAGGTTTAAAAAGGCCAAATTAATTTACTTTTTTATAATGGAAGAATATCGAAATAGGTTCTCAAATAAAGACCTTTAATTTTAAGTTTCGATGATGGAGTTTAATCTGACTTGTAGAGGCAGACAAAAACTTAAAATTATTAGCATAACTTAAATTTCTGGTCTGGTGCTGGTTACAGTTATCCCTTGTGTTTTAATTATTTTGTGTGTTGTTAATGTGCTTGGTTTTGTTTAGTCTTTTACCTTGGTGTTGTAACAGATTTGTTTTTTTAGAGGAACGTTTATTCGTGATCCTGATTATTTGAGTTAACAGAGAACTATGATTATTTTGCCTGTAGGACCACAGGGTTATACACCAAGACCTTGGCTAAGATTATTCAGCAAGATTTAGCCCGCTTTCTGGCTGTTTTTTCCGTGATTTTTTTTCCTTTCTGCTCTGCCTTGTTTTTATCTCTCCGTTCTTCTCGTCAAATCCCAGATAACAAGGAATTTAGGTGGGTATCAAAGAGAAGTAAACTCCAAAAACCATTGAATGTTAATCTCAGCCATTAGAAGCGTAAAGATTCCCGATGAGAGCGGTTTTTTTAAGTACACAATACTCTTGGTCGTTACCATTCATCAAAACTTGGTAAAATTTGGTCGAGATTTGAAGAAAATGTCAGGGAAGTTTTTGTCGATGTTAGACAACTTTCTCTAAAGATGAAGATTTTTCTTTCTTTTTGGTTTTCTTTTGGGTCAAAATTCTCTCCATTTCCAATCTCAGTTTTTCTATGCTTTAAAAAGGTCGTATTTGATGATGACGATTGCACAGGCGTGAAAATATTCTACAAGCCCAACTAACTTTGTTTTCAAACAGAGCATCCATATATTGATCTACGGCAGCTCTGTTTTTCTTTAGTGGCAGCTTTGACTTTGGCTCGTCATTCGTATGGCGGCTTTAGCCACAAAGAAAATCACTTTTTATTCACTCTTTGTTTTTAGTGGTTTTCAAAGTGTTTTGTTAAGAGGTTTTCGTGCACTGTCTGAACAACGACCAATTGCAGAAGATTACTCTACTTTCAAGTAAGTGCCTTTGACTGAAGTGCATGTAATGTATACGTTACATATGTTACGTTTTGTTCGTTACGTTTCGTTACCTTAGGCTGCGGTACGTGCTCGTTCTTGCACGAATGTCGTGATTGTTAATCGTTGAAAGTCACTGATTTCATTAATGTTTTCCTTGCAGTTGGCTCTCCATTCTGTTAATGCTGGCGTACATGGGGACAGTGATTGTGATTCTTCTCAACATACTCATTGCACAGATGAGCACGACCTACATTCAAGCTAAGAAAGTTGCTCGTCTGGAGTATGATGTGGATCGTATTTTACAGCTCACACGCATGGAAAGATTTCCTTTTCTGGTAGGTAATAAGCGGTAACGCACGGAGATCGTGTTTCAAAGGCGTGTATACTGGTCAGCGTTTTTCTTCTTGGGTTGTAGATTATTCATATGCAATAAATCTTTCGTTGCTGTGCAGTTGTGTAACCCGAATGAATTTGGCGTGAATCCTAACCAAAGTAATGCATCAACTCGATTTCTTTTTCTACTAGATGAATTGCAGATGAATAGATTATTCACCTGATTTACTCGTTTTTTTACGTGTTGTAATAAATTGTTCTTCCAGAATCTGCGTGTAAAGTATTACAAAAAGGGAGGCTGGATTAGCGAAAAGAAACTAGCAGAAGGTTTGGTTTTTGTTCAGACCGATTGAAATTCTTGTGACTTAATGATTACCTCATGGGTAATGGCTCTAAGAAGGAAAAATTCCGGCGTCATCTTTAACTGATGGACACTTACCAACTTTCAGTGTTTTATTATTGAAGTCTTTAAGTGTTTTCATCTTGAAGTCGGTTTAACTGGTCGTCTCGCCTTTTAATAGAACTTCTAGAATTTAGTGAAGATCGTAGTCCTTGGGAATCAGTGGAAGATAAGCTCTACGCGATCAGGTGAGAATCATATTTTCTATCTTTTTTACCACCGACCACTTACAACCGCGCAAGCTTAAACTGTTTACGCACTTGCCACTCGCCCATTTAATTATCCTCTCAAATAATTTGCGCCACAACAATTTTCCTAAATGAGACTTTTTTCGTTCAGGGATAAGATGAGGAAAATGATCAAACAGATGAGGCAACAAAGAGAGTAAACAGCGTCTGTCAGGAACCCACAATGGGAATATGTTCATTAAAATTTTAAAACTTTGTCTTTCTTTCAGATGTGTAGCATGTTTTCAACCTTTTTCGCGCAAAAATATTGACCGATAGGGTTTGCTCGTCAACGCTCTAAAGAAATTTCATTTAGTCGAGTAATGTTTAGGAGCCATGCAAACCGAAAAAACCACAAGGTCTAGCAGGAAAAGGAAATATAAAAATAAAAAGACAAGCATTAACAATATACTGATTTGTAAAGCACATCTTAACAGAGTAATTTATTGTACACTGATGTGATTTGAAAACAAAAACTACAGCAAAAACGAAAAGGGTCCAACAGTGAAGGGTATAACAGTGCGTAGTGTCCAGAACACTTACGAAAAATTGAATTCAAATGCAGAGCTGTTTTTGTTGTTGAAATATTCGTCGAGTATAAAGAAATGGTCACAGGTACAACAGGCTAAGAAAAAATTATAATAGTTAACACTTTGATTACTGAATTTTTCATAACCTGTTGTGCCTTAATTACTTTTGAAAAATGACATTATTATGGCAATTCAAGAGATTATAAAATCTTGGAAAAATTTCATTGACAGGCTATTACGACTTTCATAAATGGGTCAATGCGCTGTGGAACAAATGTCTTCATTTATAGTTTCTTTGTGCTGCGATTTGCTGTTGGAAGCTAACCATCTGGTTAGCCACTCTTGGCATTTCATTTTGACATCCACAGTCTCCTGCGACCGCGAGCTTTCAAGCAAAGCTTGTTCAGTTAAACTACACGTAGAAACTGCAGACCCAAAATGCGGGTTAGTGTCATGGTCCGACAATTTTACTCTTTCTTGAGAAGCTCGAAAATCGGCAGGGCAGCTGACGCATTGTCTGTTTAAATCCATTCTGTCGAAATCCGAGAAGTGCACACGACTACTGTTACAGGTACAAACTGCTTTCGTCATGTCTATTACATGTTCTTTGTGAATTCGCCGTTCTGTGAAAGGAAATGGAGGTCCCGTTGAGATTTGTTTTCCTAAAAGCCGGCGTCGCGTTTTCAGAACAGCAAGTGAAGTGTCTGATTGTTTTAGGGCATCGCCGCCATCGTACGAATTTCTTTTGGTTTTTAAAACAACTTCTCTGAGTTTCACACAGTGTTCGTTTGTCTGCAAAGTGCAGTTTAAACTTTCACCATTATGAGAGGCCGTAAAATTTTTAAACGCTATCAAGTCAGCATGAAGTGATTGTTGCGATTGAACACACATGCGAGGCCGTGCTGCAAGCTTTTCTGTATTTCGCACTATAGTTTGCTTTCGGTTCAAAATAGTCCTGAAATCCGACTTTATCTTCAGTGTTCTTTCTCGAGGTGAGACTCGGCTTGCCGATTGATCAGGCGAAGGCAACGAAGTCGAGCCTTTCGAAGTATTCGACACCTGGTCGGATTCATTCGGAGAATCAGCGAAGTAAGCCGCAACATCGTCGCTTGAATCTTCACCAAATCCACTGTCAGTTTTCGAAAGACGGCTTCGTTGTTTTCTAAGTTTCTTTGCGCGATCCAATGGCTGAGAGAATTGGGGTGAATTATCTCGATCCTCATCCTGAAAGTTCAGTTTAGAAACGAATAATCCTTCTAAGTCATCCTTGCTCTTTCCTCCATTTTCTTCCAACGCAACGGTGTTATCTCTAAGTCGGCCCTGTTTCGCAACCTTCTTTGCATGTCCTGGATTCGTTCCTTCGCTGTTCTTCGGACGTGCACGAGCCATTGCGAAGTTTTGTGTTAGTTGAGTAGTTGTAATGTCGGGAAGAACAAAACTTTCTCTTGTTTGGCTTAATTCAGGAAGAGAATACCTTCCAGTTAGTACTTTACCTTTCTTAATTCGCGCTCGCTCTGCAGCAAAATCTATCGTATTCCTCTCCACTCTTTCTTTAAAGGCAAACATCTCGTGCGCTGAGTTCTTCGACGCTGCCAAGGTTTTTACGCCAAAAGGAGCAACTTCTTTCACTGAACAGTCAATAAACAAATTTAATGAGCTTAACGTCGTCTGGATGAGGTGTGAAGAGCATTAATTACGAGTTGATTGGCTCATAAATTAAAGCAAAACAGTATATATCATTCACTCGTGATTTCGCTGAGTGGAGAACTTGTAGGATACTTGTTTAAATCGTCCTTTGGAAATGAGAAACTGGAAAAACGGATGTTATCTTTAAAGGACGAGAGATCACGTTTGTTCCGTGTGGGTAGTTACGTTGCAATGACATATTTTGTTTTCCCAAACAAACGAGGAACATTCCAGAGAAAGTTTATGAATATTTTAAGTCTTTACAGACTTTTTCTCTTTTGTCTTTTCCAGCGTTCTCTCTGACAATTAGCCTATGAACTCTACTATGCTTTAATACTTCTTGATGAAATTTCAGAGTATTTGAGTCCTTAAGGCAAACTGTTGAACTTCGAGAGAACGTTTATGAATATTTTAATCTTGGTCTTTTCAAACTTTTTCTCCTTTGTCTTTTCCAGGGTTCTTTCTGACAATTATCCTTTGAACCATAAAATGCCTCTGTTATTTAATACTTCGTAATGAAGTTTCAGAGTATTTTGAGTGCTTCAAGCAAACTATGGAACTTTGAATATGTAAGAGTAAAAGCAGTCACAGTCGCTTGCACGATTACACAGCGTGAAAAGAAAAAAAAAATAAAACAATGAAGTCCTAATTTGTTAGTGCTTATTGTTGGGAAATTCAGGGAAAAATATGTCTGAGCGCGTCTTTAGTAACAAAAGCGAACTACGCGCAAAGAATATAATTAAAAACGACAATATTGCGACACAATGGCAATGGAGATAAAAAATATTACTGTAATAGATGCATGCATCGGCAAACCTTTAAACTCTTTATTTGAATAACCCACTGTTAACCCTCTATTAAACCACTTGCCTGCAATTATGTTTTACGTGCAAATATTTGCTTCTCTATCTAAGCGTGGGGAGGTGTTGAAGTTGAAAAAGCCACGGAGGCTATCGAACTGCACGTGCCTCCGCGGGGTTTGGACGAAAGCGTGTGTTTGCAAAGACTCGCCGTTCTGTTTGAAGAGTCGACGCACTCTTAACATGCATTCCGTTTGCGTAGGGAAACTTTTAGTCTATACGATAATTAAAAACCTCCGTAAAATTCTCGTACAAGCTTTGCGCATACCTGGAGAAAAACTAACCTCATCCAACGATACGGAAATAACATGTCCCTCTCTAAAGGAGAAGTGTGCCCCATATGTTCATACCATTTTAATCCCAGCCATTGAAAAATAAATATTAAAAAATAACCGCTTGCTGCGTTTTTAGACTCCAACGAGTCAAGTTGTCATCAAATTTTCCTCACTTTCGACAATCCAGTAATGCAATGGTCATCGCAAGTGAAAAAAGAGGCCCGATAACATTCAGTTCATATGCGGGGATCCTTATTTATCTGATTTCCATCCGCTGGTCAAATACCCTCAATTTGCGTAATTAAAAATTGTAAATATTCGACTATGGCCGCGGCCATTTTGTAATTGATTCAAAAGTCTTTCAGCACGTGTATGACATCCCAGGATCGGTTCAAAATAAGTTGCTACTCGTGGATATCATTATTTGGGACATGTCTTTTTGTATAGCTCCTTAATCAAACAAATCTTTTAGAGGAGAGAGGAATGAGACTTTGAAGTGTCACAAGAGGCCAGGCTGCTAAGCTAGGTTTAAATGGCAGCATTTAAGTTCGCAGTTTTCCACAATTTTAATTGTAATTTTCGAAAGGTTCAGTTATCCTTTGGAACCAATAAACGGAAACGATTTGTGGTACAATTTCAGATGCACAATGCACATGTTATTGGTGGAGATGAAAACCATGATTTTGAGCGCGTTCTTCCCCTACAAAACATCACATCGGGAAGGGTAATAACTACAATGAGTGACGATAACAGTTGGCACCCCTCCCCTTAGTGGGTGGTCTATAACACCCCACTCGATATAATAAACAGAAATCTTGTAATTCATCTCAAATACGTTGCTTTTTCCCCAGAGCAATGTTGGCTGCAATCAGTGGGCATTTTGTCAACAACCGGGCAACATTGAAATCGGGGAGAGGGGAAGACAAATGAAAACTTAAGGAAAAATTCAAATATTAGTAGAGCGCGCCACTCATGGTGGTTTCCCTTTCGCTGCTTTTTCCTCTCGGCTTTTAGTGGATCAGTGGATATAACACTTTCCATAAACCCTTCAAAACGTCCAAACAAACACATTTATTTGCATTGTCAATCATTTCTCAGCGACCTGAGATCTCTTTGAAACCGACAAATTATGGATACATTCACCGATTCATTAAAAAAGTTTATTAATGGTAATGAACGAAGTTGTCAAGACCTGATATTCTTCTAACTTAATTTATACGTACGGAGAAATAGAATCCTCTAGTTTCAATTCTAGTTTATACAATAGGCTGAATAACGTACGCATTTCAATTAATTCTTGCAATCTATTGGAGGAAAGACGCACAGGTGATGTTACCATTTAAATTTTTTTGCTTCTTTACTATATAAAGCAAATAGATTCCATGTACAGTAACAGACCTCAGAAGACGTTAAAATGCGGTAATAATATCAGTGACACACTAGACTGCGCCTCGCGCGCCACATTTTATTTCTTACCAAATTTTGACGTCATTTGTGACGTATCGCTGAACAGACACATGGCACCATGAAATATATTTGTTAAATGGAGTCTTTTCAAACTTCATGGGTTCATTTTGTAAACGTTGGACAGTCGTCGTTCAAAATAGTACACACTGAGTTGACCTTCGACAGTAATTCATTTTAATCATTTCTTACTCAAGTCCTGTAAATTATATAATATTTTTCATTTGAATTTCGCTTCAACCTAAAACGAAAGAAAACGAATAGTTGTTTTTTTAAGCCTAACATACACACGACCTATAAAATGAATTGAATTCAATATTAAGTCATTTATCAAGGAAAACATTTGTCTCAATATTACTCTTTAAAAAAACAATTCTACCTATAGCACTGAACATTTGAATCAGAACAGAAAGATCGATGGAGGCAATCTTCTGCGCATATGACCTGAAGTGGTTCAAGCACTCTCTAATCCAACTACGGTGATCGTCCAATCATTTCCCATAGCTAAATTCATTTTCCATTTTCCTCTGATTCACTTAGAAATTCTTAAGACTCTTCCAAATCTTGGTCTTGCTGACTCCCAGTCACAATTTGTAAGGCCTCCTGCCAAGCAGCCAAGCACTAAGTAGAAAATAGACGAAGTTTAATTTCATTTTATGGCTACTACTACTCGAAGGTCATGTCCCTGGACTGACTCCTAGCGCTTTGTACAATAAGATCCAGTTTTAATCAAGCAGGTTTTCAAATGTGCTGTACCACTTGCAAGCTACAAACAGGCAAGGTAAATGGCAGGAGAAAATTCCCACGGAAGACCGCACTTTTTTTCGTTTTCTTGTTTTTCTGTTTTTTCATAAGAGACGTTACAGGCACCTAGGTCCCATCCCCCACACTCTTAGCATGCCCTTACCTTGCTATTGGAGATTTGCTATTCCCAAATTCGAACATTTCGACCTCGAATTCAGCGCGTCAACCACCTGACTGTCACATTTCGCTCAATTTTTCGATGCTACGAAATGACGATCTGTCTAAACACAGCACCACCTAGCTTCTACAACGCTCCTTCATCCGCTGACACATTTGACCGCTGTGTTTCTCTTCTATCCTTAGCTCATCTCTGAACCCTATATCCAGACTAAGACGATACGCGAGCCTTTCTGATCCGATGAATTAGAGGATAGTCACCTACCTCTTGGTAATAAGTAATATGTCTCTCTGAATACTCCGCGAATAGTTCTCTAAAGTCTGTTCTCTTGTTCTTGTTCCACCGTTCAATGTCCGCCTTTAGATCAACATTAGCACACTCGAGTCGATCACTTCCCTGCTCGGCGAGTTTTGAAAGCTGACAGAAACAAAATTCTGAGTCAACAAAAATAGTGGCTGAACCTGAGAGGGTGTTTGTGCACTTTGACTGGCGCGCTTATCACAGATTATACTCAAACGCCGATTTACGACAAAAAAGAGAAAATGCAAAACAAAGCCCTCTTCTCACCAGAAGATGCCGCCATAACGATAGGCAAAAATTGATATGTGATGTACATTTGATATGTGGCTTAAGACCAAAACTTTCGCGGCCAAAGTGGATGTGCGACTTACAAAGAGGATTCTCAAAGCGACTTCGCTTTCCACGCACATTCAGTAGACATCTTATTCACACTTCATGCAAAAGTTATTGTCACACCGCGGCACTAGGAAACACCAATCAATACTTCTGATTTCTCGGAGGTAGATATATATAAAACGGTATTTTAACTTTTTTTTCCTAATTAAGCGGTGTATTTTTTCATGCTTGAATAATTAACTTATTTATTCAGCTTTTCCTATCTAGAATACAACACTTATATGTATAAAAATTATTGGGTAGGGAGACCACGACAGCCCGACCAATTGCAGTGGACCCCTTCGTTAATAAATGTTAATAACTAAAGCTACTCAAACGAGAAGAATAAAAAAAGGAACAAAACAAACAGGCATAGGAGAGTCCTCGCTAGATTGCACTTGGGGACTAAATTGTTCCCTAGGTTCCAATGTCGTCAACGTCAAGCAGATCTAGAGTTTAATTGCATAATAGAAGTAACGAACGTTTAAATGAAGCTGAAGAGTTGTGAATTGTGGGTAACTTAGCAGGTTTTGATTGGCTGTTACACCAAAATGACATTCTCTGATTCACTGACCTCTTCTATATTAGAGTCCACTCTTTCTCGTTTGTCTTGTTTCGCCTGCTCTGGGTCTTTACTAAAGAAGCCAAAACTACGTCCACCGCCAGTTCCTTTATCAAGCTGAAAAGTTGAAGTTTCTTTCATTAACACAAAAGTGTTTGAGTCAAATTGTTTTATAGTATCTGCCAAATTGATCGCTGATGTCCGTCGTCTGTACAGGTGATTTTTAGTAACACAGATCGCCTGCCAACTTAACTGTTTTACTCATACATGTAAGATCTGATTTGTAATTCTCCCTGTAAATGCAATAATTTTTTTCTCAATTAGTGAAGAGAATTCATAACTGTATCAACGTGAAACCTCTTGCTGATAAACTTGGCTACTCTCATTACCTGTTCGATGGACAACGTCTTAATAATGTAAGGAGAAATTAGATGTCAATCTGTCCTGGAAGTTCTATGGGTAAAATACAAAATACAACATACCTCTTCTTTTTCAGCTTTTTTCCTTGACAGCTCTTCTAAAGTTACTTCATATTCCATGTGAATGGTATCACGGTGTTTAAGGGTGCTCTGTATGGAGTCAATATTTCACAGTGAGTGCCCAGCAGTGATGCTGAAAGGATTTTGTCTGTTGTAAATGGTTTTCACCAGCTTACCTTGATGGCATCTGTGTAGAGCACATATTCATGTATAGGTTCCATAAATCTGGAGTCTTGAGCTTTTAGCTGAGCAAAAACAAAATACCAGTTTAAAACAGGAAAGGAAGAGTTATACCCCACCTGTGTTTCTGCCGTTTTTATCTATTTTAAATTTTAAGGAATACCTGTAAACCACCCTTAGCTTTTTCATGTTGCTACAGTGGTATAGAGCTAAGTAAATTAAGATCAATGTCAGTATCTGAGCAACTGCACACCTACCCCTCCCCTAACCCAAAAACAGTCAACCAAGTTTGGGCTAATGTTGGGTTAGGGGAGGGGTAGGAGTGCAGTTGCTCAGATACTGACATTGATCCATAAATTGGTGTAATGAAAAAGTATCTTTATCTGCTGATAGTTACTTTAAAACAGACAGAGGCTGGAGAGGGATAAAAATGGAGTGAAATTTTCCTTCAAAAACAGGTAAAAGTGTAAGCAATGGGGTCTTAGAAATGTGTTTTTGTGGTATGTGTAAAGCAGCCTAAAATTATTTATTTTTCTGTGTTTGGGAATACCAAAACCACACTTCACCTTGTGTACCCTAAATTGATTCGTTCTGATGTAGGACTAACCCTCAAAATGTCAGCTTTTGAAACTCTCAATGGCAGCCTATATACACTATCAACTCAGCTGATAATACCAAAATACTAAACTACTGATGCAGTACCACAGTTTCTTAAGAAACTTATCCCCTTTACCCTAAACATACATCTGTCACCTTACAAGCAAACCTCACCAGTGTTATCAGAGCAGAGCTATTCTTGTCAAAAGCACTTGCCATGGCATGTAAAGGATCAGTTAACTTATGTTCAGCATCTGCCCACAGATTGAAGATTGGTATGTACTCTTTGTACATTTCTAGAAGATCTGTAAATTACATCACAGATTTGTCATCAGAACATGTTTAACCCTTAAAACCCTTAAACTCCCAGACGTGATTAACATGTGACTTCTCCCTACAATATCAATACATTATCACGCAAACAGGTAGTGAGAATACTCAAACTTATCAGGTACACAATATTATCCTGATCGAACACCAAACTCTCCTAACCAATTTACAAGGAAATGTGTAGCAGCTAAAGGAGAGAATTAACAATCAAGTCTTGGGAGTTAATGGGTTAACACTCTGACATCAGTATCCATATTCTCCATACTTTTCTCTATACATTTCCTTTGGTGATGACATGGAGAATTTGCTTAGCAATCAAAGCTCCTTAGGTTGGCAATCATTTGGCAACCTTTATTCTCATGATCATAATGAATGATCAGCAGTGTTATAGTAAGGAGAAATAATATGCTGGTCACTTTTTGGGGTCAAAGGGTTCGGATGTAAGAGGATAGTATCTTGGTGTTTTGATACTACTACGAAAAAGTATGAGATAATTCAACACCAGGAGATTTTCTCAAAATGTCTAAACCTCACATTTCTTGAGTCATTCCTGCTGCTGGCCCCTATGTTGTATTGCCAAAATTTGTTGCCTAGCATTGCAACCTTAACTCTCTAAGAGAAACTTTAAACTCTAATCAACAAGCACTGGCATCTTACCAAATCTATCCTTAGCAATCTTGTCAGAAGCAGCCTCTACAGCCAGCATCTTTTCTCTAAAAGCCTTTGTATAATCTGCCATTTCTTGAAATTCAGGCTCTCTACTTTTCAACATCCACGAAGATGCCATGTTCTTCATGGAATCACTCATTCTGCTCATCAAACCTGGACCCTGTTTCTTGACAGATGTTAGTTCCTAAATTTACAACAAGAAAAGAAGTAAGAATTCATTATAAAGTTTTATAAAATAACTGAGAAACTATGAGCACACTGATTGGTCAATAGACTATCATTTATTGCACCAGTAAGCCAATAGTTATTTAATAAAAGCAATTGACTGCACTCTCTACGAGTTTGCCACCTACAGGTTGTGATTAACCCATTTTTGCGAGTGTTTTCCTAACTATCTGCATAGGTTAAAGCACAGATAATATCAATGTTACAATTCTCCTGACAAAGATCCCATGGCCTTTATCAATGGACATATAGTAAGAAAAATGTTTCATATGAGCCTGGAAACTTGTCATGCAACAAAACTGTCATCTAGCAGAAAGCAGATTGGTTCATTTTCTTTTTTTCTTCTTAAAAAACAACAGTGTGTGGTAGAGCAGCAGTTATACTGAATCAGCCAGGAAAAGGATGTTAACAATTTGTCTGCTAGGGAGTGTTACCTTAATTGACACAATATCCAAATCTCCCCACCACTTTGTGGGGAAATGTGCTTTGTGGGGAAACAGCCAGAGGGGAGAATTACAAACAGATCAAGGTAGGTAGAGAATTAAGAACACTTACCCATGTTTTAGCTGTAAGGAAGACATGGAAGTTGTCATTAAAAGACATCACAGGGTGATCCGCAATCCTACTAACAAACTTGTTGAGTGCTATTTGTCGTGATTTTAAAAATTCAGGTGCAAATCGATCAAAGTGCTTTGTAAATGAATGCTTCTCTGGGAGTGGCTGGAAGGATAATAAATCACAATAATATTGTGGTTAGTGACAGGTTATGATCGTAAAGATAAACAGAAAAATTTCCCTCTGATTCTGCTTATAACAATAAAATAGGAAAAGATCTCCTTTTCAACACAAATGCAAC